AGTGTCCCTTTATAAGGGAACATGGTGAATATACACAGATAGTGCTCTTAGTGGCTGAAGCTGAGGGCATTTTCTGTCATTTCCCTAAGGACAGGAGAGTACAGATACTCACATACTGACAGGTGAGAGTCTATGATAGCATTACAGTGTATTAATGGGTATAAACCAGATGGAGTTGTGAGGCTTACAGGGGAAGTGGACAGAAGCTATCTCCAATGGATAATTTCTTTACAAAGACAAAATATTTTCTAATGTTGTCTCACTGGGCATATAAACTACTCTTGAGGAAGGTCTCATGCCTATAAGTAGATGGCCAAAAAATTGAACTCAGTGATATGTTGCATATTCTTTGTCTCATAATGTTTGTCAGAACATTTTTTCCTCCTATAGGATACATACATATATATATATATATATATATATATATATATATATATATATATAAATTTAGGCTTCTACTTTTGTGATTCTCAAATGGACAAGTTATAGAGCATGAAAGATACATGTGTACTCAATCATAAATGTGTTGTCTTAGGCAAAGTTTCTCCTAAGGTCTCAGGGACAGATGCAGGAAAAGATAAACAGATATTTAAGACCCACAGATATTGAATGAATCCAAGGATACAGTCTCTTTCAGACACAATAAACCGGTGCATACATGAACTCACTACACTGTAGATGTTAATACAGGGCTTGCACAAGTTCAAGCCAAATTGGGATTTGAATGCTGGGTAGGGGAACTGGACATGGTTACTCAATCCTAAATGATAAACTATCTACAACTGGTACGTACATGCAAAGTAAAAAATAATGTGCTTCAGTAGAATGTCATTGACTGCATTAAACACACTTCACAGCAGGTCTTATGCCTAAGATGCAAACAAAACAAGAAGAACTGTAGTCTTGTACAATTTTTTTCATTTATGATTTTTTTGTGTGCTTGTGGATGTTTGTATGTCTGTGTGTGAGAGAGAGAGAGAGAGGGAGAGAGAGAGGGAGAGAGACAGAGAGAGACAGACAGAGAGAGAGAGACAGACAGAGAGAGACAGAGAGAGAGAGAGAAATTACTTGTGTTTTTTTCTTGTGAGGGGTCAAGGATTGCTGGGAAAAGGTAATTTATGATTACAATATATTGCTTAAAAATTATTTTTCACTAAGAAAATTTAGAATCCCCCTTCCAAAATAACTCATTGATTGTTATTTGATAAATTATGACAGAGAGGTTATACATAATATGTTAATTTATGTATCTGTCATGTGCAATCTAAACAACCTGTTTAGAGTTTACCAACAATTTCCGGTCAATTGTCAACTATACTATTAATAATTTCTGTCTAAACTGCTCCGTTGTTTTCTCAGAACATGTGCAGAATCATCAGAGATATGTGCATATTTTCACACTTACTCAAACATGGACACAGTCAGACAGGTCTCTCTTATAGCAAAGATGGTATTTCAGTTAACATTAGCTTATTGATTGTTATCCTATATTGCATCATCAAGAAATGATTTATTGTCCATGACTCTCATGTAATTCCCATGTCATTTCCAGTTGTCCTAATGACATCTTCAAGACTGTCTTCATGGCTCATGTATCTACTGTAATTCTGATGTCATTTCCAAGGCATGTCTCTAAGATTTGGGTTCTTCCTAAAGATGGTCAAGTTTCACTTTCTCTAAGTAGAGCTGTGTCTCATTATCCATTCTTGGAAACACAGGCCTGCTTCAATACTAAGATCAAATTTTTTTAGCTTCTTAGAGTCACCCAGGGCCTCAGATGCATCAATAGTTACTCATTTATACCTGTGAATCCTTTTCCTATAGAGGCTGTATTGTGAAAGCTCAGTTCTCTTTAGTTAGAACCAAGAGCAGGAGCCTATTTCAGCATGATGGGAAGAAACAACATGCACACAAAAGCATATACAATGTGCAACATATATTTTACATGTGAGCTTGACTTGAACATCCCTTTCTTGTAAGAAGCCCAGAATACATGAGGTAGTCAAAGCACTCACATATAGAAATGGAATATTGAGTTCCATGTGACACTCGAAACTTTTCATTGCAGGAGAATTTGTATATGATTGAAATACATTTGACTCATGGTCACACTGCTTATATCCAGACACATCCATCTACACTTCAATGTACAGCATATTTTAGGGGTTATTAAGTGTGCTGACAAGTGACACATGTGCATGCATATGGACAAACATATGAGTTATACATATAGTGGCACTGGATCCACTAATTCTTTGGGCATGGTAGTGAATTATTCAACTTACTTCTGTCATTCTCTAGGGTTACAGCAAGGCCACTCAAGTCTGAAAATCAGTTGCCATGAGTTTACATGACTAGGAGGATGCTGAGCTTTGGGAAATTAGATCCAGAGAGAACACATTCATCATTTTGTCCCAGAAAGTTTGAAGAATAATGAAGGAACTATCCCTTCTAAGTCTTTACATAGAAATGTACAGCCACACATGATACAGCTGCTCAGTTAGCACACAGAATGATCCCCAATCCAAACTTCCCTAAATTTTTGTCACTTCTCAAATTTGAAAATACGTTCTAGAGTTGGGAACAGATCTGCGTGTACCTAATTTATTCATATCCCAGGTGTTGATAGTTTTCTGTACCAAGTGCAGTGGGGGTTAGGAAATTGCTTTATAAAGCAATTGTGAGTTCTGTCCATCATGTGTGCTTCTCTGGTTAATCCATTAATCACAAGTGGTCATGGCAAAAGCTACATCTAACAGACCCTAGAGAAAGGACTAAGTTCATGGAGAAAGACTGTGAGGCACAGCTCCTCATCCATACTTGAAATCTCTGTTCAGCATCACCAGGTCCATTACCAAGAACATGAATAAGAGTCATAGTGAGGGTCTGTGTATGAGAACTTACACAAGCCTGTTCTCAGAAGCAGCAGGGGGCACTGTGGATCCATCAATCTCTAAGAAGTAAAGAATCACAGAGGCAGGTAATGATGCTGTGCACTCAGGAGATTTAAACACACTCTGTGCATTTCATTGCCAGTGTCTATATATTCAGAGTCCAAGGTGTAGCTGATATCAGAGATCTCCATGCTAGAACATGGCAGATATTATTTGTTAAATAAAATCCATAAAGAGGTCAACAATATTTAGAATGGATTCACACAGTTGCTGGACAAGACAATAGTTCATGAAAGAATTATCAGGAAATGTTAAGGGTATTTGAGATCTGGAACCTGAGCAACGTTTTGGGAAAAGTGTCCCAATTAATGCAAGAGGTGTGCACATTTCTGCTGATCACTACTGTGGAATGGACAGCAGCATCCAAAGCTCTGTCCCAATATGGTCAAAACAAGTCCTCTGCATCACAAATATGTTTAACTGTAAGGAGGTTCAGATGACCACTGAACTCTTGAAGTATAGTTCACTTTAATGAACATGGATGTGGTGACTGGATTCTCACTGGGATGGAAGAGCTCTGTCCACACAGGTTCTCGTGTGAAAGAGGGAGAAAGGGCAAAAAGCTAGAAATCCATGTGTGATTTAATAAAAAACTCTTGCTACTTTCATATTCATTGCACCAGATGTGCACATACTGTAACTCTAATACTGAATTAATTAAGGAATTAAGCTAATAGTATTTATTTATATTCTCCAACGTCTGAGAATTTTGTGAATTTTAAGAGGAGAATGTCTCCATTGTATTTAACTAGGTAAGCAATCTTGTCCATTTCAGCCTATGATAGTTATCAGAATCCCATGGACTGGAGTATGAAATGCAGCTTTATTGAAAGAGATTGTGATATGTGAGTCTGTCTCTATAAGAAGACTTGGTGAACTTCTGGTATGGGACTTTACACATAAACTAAATGCATGTTTGGTTGCTGTTCTAATCCAGGCTTATATTGAATAAAGTTGCTCACATTATCAACATATACCGTGCTCTCCTCACAGGAATCACCTAAGAGTACCATCATTTTCAATCCAAATTTTTGAGAATTTTGAATTATGAGTTTGTAGTTACAGTTTATCTAACACCTGTTCTCTCTATAGTGCTTTTCACATAGCATGTCACAGTGATGAACCGGAAGACCAAGACATGCCTACAGTACTTATTGAAAACATATTAAATAGTTTCTCAAGTTGACTGTATCTAAACTCTTGAAATTTGAATGTAAGGAAGTAGTTCAGAGAAAGGTTATAAGTTCATTGAGGTACTCTGATACAACTTTACAAAAATATTTTCTAATTTTTAAGCCATTATTGGAGAGGGAGAGTTAATATGCATTCATATAAGGTTGTTGGATTATATTCCCGCTTTTTAATTTTTATACAGCATCATCCACACATGCCTTCATTTTCCCCTTGAAACCAGAAATAATTCAACTACCTCTGAAATATTTAAGAAAATGGTTATATTCACTGCAGCTCATATCACAGAATTAAGACAGAATACCACAGTTTCATGTCCTCCATGACCTAGGAGTCTGAAACCCAACATCAGTGTTCCTGCTTGGAAATGAAGTTCTTTCTCCAGAAGAGTCTGTTGCCTGCCTTCCCTTCATTCAGACATCAGTGAATCTTGCATCTCTGACCCTTTGTCTTTGTCACGCAAAATTGATATCCAGGGGAGGATGTCGCTCTAGATATATGCTTTTCTTTTTGTTGATGAATAAGATACTGTTTGACCAATAGAGGAAGGAAGATAGATGGGACTAGGAATATGGGAGAATTCTGGGAAAGTTAGACAGAGAGAGATCACAGAAAGATGCCATACAAGATGTGATGTTACACCCCGGGAACTACTCCGACCTGAGGGAAGGGTAAGGATGCAATTCCTCAGACAGGATTAGGATTTTAACCTCAGCATACTTTGCCTGACTCATGTGTCCTCAGCCACCTTTTTCTTCACCTGTACTAGGTCCGTATTTAAAGAAATTCACTGCTCATGAACATGCAAATCATGTAAATCTATGGTTGTAGATACAGGGATGTCCACCTCACCAACAACATATGCTCAGTGTCCTTGTACAGTCACTTAGCACACCGGTCCTCACCATGGGTTGGAGCTGCATTATTTTCTTCCTGGTATCAGTAATTACAGGTAAGTTATTTCCAATTCCAAACATGAGGATGAGGCAGGGACTAAGGTAACAATGATGTCCACTCTGCATTTCTCTCCCCAGGTGTCCATTCCCAGGTCCAGCTGCAGCAGTCTGGTCCTGACCTGGGGAAACCTGGGGCCTCAGTGAAGCTATCCTGCAAGGCTTCAGGCTACACTTTCACAGATTACCATATTTCCTGGGTGAAACAGAAGCCTGGAGAAAGCTTGGAGTATATAGGATATGTTTGTGGTGGAAATGGTGGTACTAGCTACAATCAGAAATTCCAGGGCAAGGCCACACTGACTGCAGATAAATCCTCCAGCACAGTCTACATGGAGCTCAGCAGCCTAACATCTGAGGATTCTGCCATCTATTTCTGTGCAAGCCACACAGTGTTGCAACCACATCCTGAGTGTGACAGAAACTGTGGAGGAGAAGGAAGCCAATCCTGGGTGTTTACTCAGAAATATTGAATCTGAGTGTCCCTTTGTCACTTTGCACATTCCTACTAGTTTCTCCCTTGAGTAGATACTGCTTTAGGATGCTGCAGTGTACACCATACCTTGATAGTCTGTTCACCAGTGACTGCCTCTATTGACATGTTTCTTTATTAATAAAACAGTAAATAATGAAAATTGTGATGATGCATTATGGGAAAACTATCCCTGGATCCCATGAGACTGAGACTTTTGTTGGTGTAGCTTTAAAAAATCTGAAATATGGATTTGACCAGTAAAGTCCAAATAATACCAATTTGGTAAAAACTATTTTCATAGTCTGAAAGTTTACATGACATCAGGGGTATCAGTAACTCAATGCTGTTCAGCTGAAGTACCAGTCTTTTAGAATGTGATATGCATAGCAAAACGCTTTGCTACACAAGTATAATTACTGTAAGTTTGTCAAAATCATTTTATTACATTACTTTCCACAAAAACACTTAATCAAATCTGTGTGTTTACGTGTAAAATGTGGTAGGATCTTAGAGCATACATTATTCCCTGGTCCCATATATACTTGCTTCCCAGTGTCAGTTACCTGCCCCACATTCCCAAGTCTTTATAGAACATGGACCTCTACTGATGCACCATCAATAGTTAGAGGCCGTTGGATACCTGGTGTTCACCTTTGTCCTACAGAGTGTTTGAATTCTGCTCTGGTACAGTACTTGTAGACACTGCCTATTAATTTAGCTCATCATCAGTGGCCACTGCTATAGTTAGATGCAACAACACCAAAAAAACTGGGTTTCATGAATCTGGAAAAAAATTGCGGCACAGCTCCCCATTTATCCTTGAAATATCTACTCAACATAACCAAAGCCAATGAAGAAAGAAGGAAGAGCCACAGTTTGGGCATTGTGTGTCAGCCCAGAGACAAATTTGTAATTGTGGTTTCTCCAAATCAGCAGGAAGCACTGTAGATCCACAAGTACCTAAGAAATAAATGGCAGCTGAAGTTTGTAAGAAAGTTGTGCACTTGGCCAAGCAGTGGTGGTGCACACCTTTAATTCCAGCACTCACGGGGCAAAGGCTGGAAGATCTCTGTGAGCTCAGTACCAACCTGATTTACAAGAGCTACTTCCAGGACAGCCTCCAAAACCACAGTGAAACCCTGTCTTGAAAAAGCAAAAAATAAATAAATAAATAAATGAAAATTAAAGGTGTGCACTGAGGATATTCCAACAGCCTGTATGGATTTCATTGCCAACACCATTACGTTCAGAGACTGTGGTGTAGATAGGAGAGAAGCCCTTCAACCGACTGGCTCCATCTGATTCCCTCTAGCAACTATCAGTGAATCTTATTCATGATATTGAAATTAGAGCAAATCAGACAGGAGTCAGCTGATGTCCCACAGCATATAGTTTTGCTTTAATATTTGTAGCAAGAACTCATATATTTATGCGGATATAGAAACCAAGTTATACACAGGTAATTGGATATTCTCTTTCCTGGAATCATAATACAAATCCAACCTTCATAAATGAAAACATTCAACTCCTATAAAGCTTTATTAACACCAGCTCTGTCACAGAATAAGAGGAAAATTGACCTGGAATAGGAGAGAGAATCAGGGAGGGAGGGAAAGAGAGAGAGAGAGACAGAGAGAAAGAGACACAGAGACACAGAGACAAAGAGAGACAGAGACAGAGAGAGACATGTACTTCCACCCATGAGGAATCTTGTCTAAGTACTGTCCTTTCCTCCACCAACTGGAGGACAGGAAATAAATTGACTTACAGCGTGCATTTGCTTTGTTTCTACTTACTTCTCTATGTAATACATTTTATGTAGTTGTTCACCAATCTGTGAGTACTACGGTGCTGCCTCCTCGCTCTGTTGAGGTGAAGACTTACTGTGTTTCTCTGACCTCAGGTGCTCTGCCACAGGAAACTCAGTAGTGTATATATTCTTGTTTAAGTAATATTTCCCATATGTATTGAGGTCATTATTTGGGAAACTTATTGGAAGGGCAAACATCCATTGGACATACAGGTAAGAAGGTCACACATTTCCACACATAAGGAGTCAGAATTCCAGTCATTGGCATCACAGCCATCAGTAGCAGCATCTGTAATTCCAGCTGTAGTTTCTGTCCCCGGTGGGAGGGGTTTGCTCAGCTGGAATAGTTGACTGTGACCTGGGATCTCAGTCCTTGACGTTCCGGGCCCAGTGTTGAGCTCATGTAGCTCTGCTGTTGGAGAACTGGTCCCAAGGTGTGACACACACTGTGCCCTTTGCAGCCCCCAGCTCAGGGGAAGGAGAGAGGGAGAAGCTGGGGATAATCACAATTTATGTCTTTCACCACATTTAGGATTTCATCTCTCATTTTCTCTGTGTAATTTTTCTAAAAGGAAAGGTGTTTAGTCAAATTTGGAATACCTAGCCTAATACATTAATTGTGTCTTGGGAAAAGAATATAGAAAAAGTACATTAAATCCAGTCTGTCATCGTTCTCACTCAGGATCCCTAAGGGAGACAAGATGAGACGTCCTCATCCCTAAACCACTCCACTGTCCTGCACATTTGAGTTCTGACCATGTTTTATATGATATCCTGATGCATGGGCCTCTCCATCTCTTCCCGACTCCCTGGACCTCACCAGGATCAACTTCAGCACAGACCTTTCTCGTGTTGAAAGTGTGAGAGTCTTTCAGTAAGGTGTGATGTCCCATGTTTATGTACCACACCTGTTCTGGTGTTCAGATTTACTCCCAGAACATTTCATTACTGCTTAAGAATCAGAACCAAAGTCAGCTTTGTAGAATTTCATTTTACTATGGGGATTCGTTAGATTAATGGTGGTTTCTCATAAAGTATTCTCTTTCATTCTACAACCGGTTTTCTTTCTCGTATACTAGTGAAGGTATCCACTATGTTTATGTAGATAGAGGTGATTGTATCAATGTCATATTAGTTAGTGAAACAAGAGAGGACATGAACAGGGACAGAGACTTATTGGAAAGCCTGAAAAGGAAACATTGGGGCATAATGGGTATAAATATGATCATACTGTGTTTTATACCTGGATTAAATTAAAAATATAAATTATGAACTGCAAAATATCATATTTACAAAGTTTTACAATTTTCACACTCATGTATTCTTTTCTTTGTGTTATTTCACCATAATCTCTTCCCTTACTTTTTCTCTCCCCTCCTAGTTTATTCTACGAGACAACACTCTTATAGTTCATCATGCATTTTTATTCATAGTTCTATGTAAGCATGCGATATCTAAAAACTACTGATGAGAGTCTCATTTGATATCTGATTTCTGAGATTGCCTTAACTAATGCATTTATCTCTAGTTGCATCCTATCTGATGTAAGCTTCGTATTCCTTGTAAATGTATAACTTCTGTTGAGTTGTTTATATAAACATTCTTCTTGATGAGATCCTCTGTTGAAGATATATAGTTTATTTCTATAATTTTGTTATTGTGGTATTGGTTCAGTAATCAAGGTGCTTACTTGATTTCTGAAGTATATTTTCTTTTGTTCATTTGGTAGAATTTTCAGTATACAGGCAAATATTCATTGCATATATTTTAAAGAGGCTGTAAATTTAATACTCAGTAGGTTTTAAATTTCTCATCACTATCACCATCATCCCAGCAACCCTCTGTAAATCATTCTGATAACCTTGTCCCAGGTGGAACAACTGTCTCAGTCCTGACATCCTTTGAGACCTTAGGGTATGATGTTTCTTCCTCAGCATCATCTGAGGTCCCTGGGAAGAAGGATGATATACATATTCTTAGAGAGGATTAGGATGGGATCTCAGTATCCTGCTGCCTGATACAGGTGTCTGACATCTTCTGCTTCAGCTGGACTAGGTCCTTATCTAAGAAGCTGCCTGCTCATGAATATGTAAATCGTGTGAGTCTATGGTGGTAAATACAGGCATGTCTACAACAATAACAGCATATGATCAGTGTCCTCTCCACAGTCACTGAGCACACAGGTCCTCACCATGGGATGGAGTTGGATCATCCTCTTCCTGGTGACAGCAGCTACAGGTAAGGGACTCCAAGTTCCAGACTTGAGGAGGGGCCATGTACTCAGGGGACAGTGACATCCACTTTGCCTTCTCTCCACAGGTGTCCACTCCCAGGTCCAGCTGCTGCAATCTGAGTCTGAGCTGGTGAAGCCTGGAGCCTCAGTGAAGCTGTCCTGCAAGACTTCAGGATACACCTTCACTACCTATTATATGCACTGGGTAAAGCAGAGGCCTGGACAGAGCCTGGAGTGGATTGGATGGATTTATCCTAATAATGGCAATACTAAGTACAATCAGAAGTTCCAGGGCAAGGCCACCCTGACTGCAGATACATCCTCCAGCACAGCCTACATGGAGCTCAAGAGCCTGACTTCTGAGGACTCTGCCATCTATTACTGTGCAAGAGACACAGTGTTGCAACCACATCCTGAGTGTGTCAGAAACCCTGCAGGAGGAGGAAAGTGCCCTGGGACTGAGATTATAGAGGGGATCATCCTGGAGATTTGGCCATAAATCATCACACTGAGTGTCCCTTTGTGACTTCCCAGACTTAGATGGTTTTGTCAACGTTTCAAAAGGACTGAAGGGAATAAGTTATGTTGATTTCCTCTGCCCTTAGACCTCACCATACCTTGACCAGCTGTTTAACAGTGGCCTCATCCATGGATATTATTCTTTTTTTAAAAAGCAAATATGGGCCGAGCGGTGGTGGCGCACTCCTTTAATCCCAGCACTCGGGAGGCAGAGGCAGGCAGATGTCTGTGAGTTCGAGTCCAGGCTGGACTCCAAAACAATACAGAGAAACCCTGTCTCAAAAAAAATCAAAAATAAATAAATAAATAAAAAGCAAATATAGGAAAAACTGCAGCAATACATCATGATGTTCATAGCTCTTACATAGAAGGTTCTGGAAATATTTTTGGAGTAGCTATGAATGAGCTATAAATTAAATTATTCACATAAGATAAAAATCAATAGAATGTGGGAAAAATAACACGTGTTTTATATCCTATTTTGTTCGCCTAAAGCTAGCAAAGGAAGTTTGTGGGAAGGGGTCCCCTTTGATTTGGAGGTAGCTGCTACATGGATATAATGATAAGGGAGTCCTCACTCTTTGTAGAACTTCCATGA